GGCAATCTTTGGTGAGAGACAATCATGACAATCTTTGGTGAGACACAATCATGACAAGCTTTGTGAGAGACAATCATGACAATCTTTGGTGAGATTTACCCACGAGGTGTATAAGGTTAGCCCACGAGGATATCCGTCTTTCAGTTAAACATTCTTGTTACGTCACTGAGATCAAGAAACGTAAACAATCCCGCCATTCCCATGACGGATTGGTTGACTGGTTTTATCGCATTTCGGTGATTGGTTAATGCCCGTTACGTCACTGAGATCAGTGACGTCTCAGGCGAACAACAAACTACATCCGCAAAAATGAGCCTCTCATGGGTCAACCTTAGTTCAACCATGGCTACAGTAAGCTACACTGCGCTGCACTGCGTCTTGCTTCATGCCGTCAACTTTTACCATGGCGGCAAAGCACCGCAAGTTGCCAGATTTAGCGCGTTTAAAAATCAGACCTAACAATGACTTGTAATTTCGCCACGAGAGTTTCCATTGCGAGCGAAGAAGTAAGAGTGAACAATGCACGGCGATCTGCGGAGCTCACGGCAGACTCGCTATCTAATCTAGATGTATGTATAGCGTCAATGTGAGTTGAAACTGTGCAGCATCACGTTCAATGATAACGAACGTAGCAATGATAAAATTAGCTTGAATATAGACGTCTCTCGGTACAAAGAAAGACGACTTTAATTGGTGTAAAATCTTATAAAATAATTCAAATTCGAAAAAATGTAATTGCTTTTTTAATTATTAGATTGAAGAAAATGCCATGTTGGCGAGAGGGATCAAATTTATGAAATAGAAACATGTAGTGAAATCTGTGTCATGTATCATGATTTCTTCGATCTCATATTGAAGAAATTCTAGTATAATTAAAGGGGCAATAAAACAGATAAATTGGAGTACACGTGCAGGAAGAATAAGCAGCAGTTAGGCGGCAAGTCGAGAAAGTCAAATGCAACGCGTGTAAATTTGTTTGATTCTACGGTCAAACAAGAAGGCTATAGCTTTTTTATTGATCGTAATACGAGGCACATTCTTTCATTTCTGGACGCAGAATGCATTTGGTTGGATGCAGAGCGCAACATATAGTGACCAGAATGAAGAAAAACTCTCAACTGCTAGTCACATCAACTGCAGTCATTGACATAAAATTGTGAATAACTTGGTGCCTGACACGTGGCTTTTCAAGCCACGCAGCAAGCCGACTCAGCTGCACGGTCAAACACTTCCACGCAATCTGTCACCGAATGTTTTGAACTGCTTTCATTAGCAACCGTCCAGAATAAATACTAATCTCTATTGATTACAGCTAAAATCAATATTTTAGATGGCGAATTGGATGAAGCATGTAAAGACACACAAATTTTCAGCTGATTACAAACCGTCTTCATTTAAATTCGACAAAACCTGTCGCGCATCCAATGACGTCAAACGTCTGCTATACAATACCCATGCTGGCCTACGAAAAGCTGAGTGGTCGTAACTTTCTTTTCAGACTCTCGCTGCTGAATTTTTATTATAATCATAAAATGGACATTGATAATAAATAATTGGTTCCCCGTGAACTTAATGCAATTTCACCATGTCAAAATAGCAAAGTCGATAGCTTGGGAAGAGAGAAAACAAATAATAATGAGCCGCTAATATCACTCGTAAATCTTGTAACGCTTTAAAGACTCTGTTTTCCGGGTTTAATGCTAGGTATGCTCGCGATGCTGCTCGACACGGAAGGCGAAAGTGAGCGTCGCGCCTCGTCATTTAGCTTCGCACTTCACGCAAACTTAGAAGCTTGAGGCTCTGCATCTGTGACCAGCGAGCGATGCTCAGCGGCTAGGTGCGAGAAAGAAAGTAGCAGGTGAGATCTTCAAATATCTTAATCAAATTCTTGAGCAATTAAAAAATTTAAACTCCGTGTTTTGCACCAGATGCATTAAAATATAGCATAATAAGAAACTTATATGGATTGTTTACACTGCGGGTTAAAAATGCATTTATGCACATAACCCACGTAATATAATAGATAAATAGGTAGAAAAAAATTTTAGTTGAATGTTAATGACTAGTTATCAGCGAGAATATATTTATTCTAGTAGACTCCAGATAAAAAAAGTAAACTAGATAGATAGGAGCATTAAACATTTGTTTCTACACGATATACCTCTTTATACATATGGTCATTGTTTAAATAAATTTTTAAATGATAGCATAATTTTGCTAGGTTATACGACCGAGCTACTACATCAAATGAGACTCAATCAAGCTCGAGACTCTTCTCAATTTCCAAAGTTGGACGAAATTCGCAGGCCGGTAGTCATGTTGGCAGAGCAGCCATTTATTTCTGCTGCCATCACAGTCAAATATCTTCAGAAGTTTGCAGGTTGGATTTCATGTTATTAATCACAATCAGCGCAATATTTCAACATATGACTATCGATTACCTCTAGCTCTAAGAACCTCATACATGAAGCAATACTATATGGACAACGTAGAAATGGAACAAAAATTCTCCTTTCATGTCATGTTATAAGTTTGAAGCGCACATGCGAAGCATCACAAGGATCAAATGAAAGTCATGTAATTGGTTAGCAGCGTGAAGAAAAAATGTCCTCCAGTCAGAAACGGAGACAAAAACCGTAGTAGGAACGGTGCGTCCGCGTACAGTCCCTTCCATGGCTATTTCTTATGTCTGCAAATTATAAAAAAACTCCTAAAAACGCAAGCCTCTTTCAGGTGCAGCAATATTACCAGCAGGTGCCTGACACGCAATATAGCTAATAACTGGTTCAATTAATTTCTTTCACAAAATGAGTGTAAAAAAATGACTAATTTTCCAAAAAACACGGACTTTTGGCACGCAAATATGTGGTCAGCTCTCAAATTTCGACCAAGAAATTGGTCAAAGAGCGGTACACAGATGCATAAAAAAATTCTTCCCTCTATATAGATCAATGATTACACGGAATGCACTCGTAACGAACGAGAAGTGAAATAACTACATTGAACATGGAATTCACATGCCTATAAGATGAGTGGAAGAAACGAGTAACGACGTATTCTTTCGTATTAATCAAAAATAAATAAAGGCAGCATGAACTGAAGCCAAAATTTCCCAGATCTTCAAGGTCAAACCCTTGGACTCGGCAACCTTGGGCCAGTGTGGATCATGGAGAAGCAACGGTGAGGAACACGTCAAAAATCCTTTCAATAACGACGGTGATTACACGCATACATTTGAATGAGATTTGTGGTGTAATTATACCTTTTTTGAAACTTGTGTTCGCAGTTTGCACGGCCAAATTTAAATAGGTTTTATCCCTTAAACACATCATGTGATGTGGCATGAAAAAAACAATGCGTCAGAGTTAACTAATTTTATTTGCAGTCAGAAAAAAATACAATCATTTCGAGTTTGCTTCATAAAAAAGAATAAATTTCAAACCAGATTCAGAGTAGCAGGCAAAATGTGAGATGTTTTGCAAGAAATCTCGGCCGTGTTCGCCGCGCGGGCACATTCCACCAGATAACAAAACTTTTTCAACCTGTAAATTTGCATGTGCGAACAAACGAAGCTAGGAAAAATCTATTTATTTACTGTTTCACACTGAAGATGCATCGCAAAATTGGACGAGCAAGCTAGACTGCAGAGCGGGCCTTCTTCTTTCCGGTTTTCCGTTATGCGCGCAAGCACGATGCAGCTAGTTGCTCGATTTTTTCCTTCTATTTACATGCACCGAAAGAGTTTCTACCACTCCTACTCACTTCCATGAAAAAATTTCTAATTTGTTTCTCTCCGAGCGTTAATTTTCTGGAAGTTAAAGACTATCGGAGAAAAGAAACATAAACGGTCGGGGTTAGCAAGGTGGCGACATTGGTAGAGACTTTCTCACAGAGCAGGGACAGTTCGTACCCTGCTGAGGGAACTGCACGTGTGAATGTAAACAACACGAGGAATAAATGTTGAGCGAAGAGAGTTGCTGAAAAAAAACTGAACAAAGGCAGCCAATAGAGTTCAATGCACAGCATCGAGTCTACACGTCTTTGCTACGGAGTGTTATTTCAGCGTACACACGGTGGAACCAAAGCTGCATTGATGGAAGGCAGCGCTTAGCGTAGTTATTCAGTCGAAACGTTTCACAAATCTACAAATATAGCATTTAATGATGAAATTCATTCATTGTTCATACAAGCAACTGAAACATACAAATAAAATTAAGTTATTGTTTAAATATAGTGTGTCTCTGTAAGGAAATGAATTCAATGAAAACATTTCAAAATAATTAGTTTGTTTATTGAACATCTATCAATTATAATTGCACTCGAGATACAAATTTAGAAGGTTTGTCGAATTATTGTCAATCATTAATCACGCTTAATGTATTGGTGAAGCATTATGTGTGATTATTATCCCATTTTAAAGTTTTGATTATAATATTTTCATTCGGTAGTTTTATCGGCAGCTGAGATGAAAAAATTACAATGAGAGTCAACAATAGCGCCACAACGATGATGCTGTTGGTCCAGGTCTCATGTACACCAGATGAGCGCATATGAGAGCGCTCGCAGATGTGGAACGAGAACAAATAATGTTCTTTGTCGAGAACATATAATATATTCTCAGTCGCGAACATATAATGTCTGTATTCGAGTAATTCTTTTCTATTCACAATAAAATGGTCTGCTATCGTAAATTTAATATTTGAGTTGAACATTTAGTGAAAGCTGCTGAATCTAAATTTCGTACGGGTCTTGGATGAGGATGGAAAAATTCATCGATTGAAAGTTCTTCAATTGACCGTCTGTGGCCATTATTTCTTGGTTAATTGAGTCAATGCAGCGTCATGAAGTGTTCTTAAGTGATAAATAAAAATCTATAAAATTCAAGTCTAAGACGGTGAATTAGTTTAACGTCACAGCTAACACGTCTCTCAGTTTTAAATCCAATTCAATCGTGATAAAAAGTGGGCGGTCGGCGCTCATGCAAATTGGCAGTCTATAAGAAATTTTTTTCCATATTAATGAAGTAGCGACTAGAGAGATTAAGTATAGGTTAGGGAAGTTGAAGTTAGAGCAACAAAAGGAGAGACGAGAAGGAAGAAGTTGGTGGCATTGAATACTTTGGTGACGTCCTCGTCTTAATGATATAACTTTCTGCTAACACCATTGAATTGCGCATGTGAAGGGCCCTTATTTAATACTTAATGCATGTTAAATTCACCTCTTGGTCCGGCCCAACATTTAATAGCTTTTCGACGCATTTATTGCTTTGCTTCAACGCAGGCCGCAAGGCTCTTATCAGTTACGCGAACCACTTGGCACTTAGTTATTTCACCTGCCTCGGTGTGAATATTCGGTTCTCTGTATTAACATTATATATTCTAAGTGCGTCAACCGGCTTTTACTAACTACTATCTTCTTGAGGTTGGGCCGACCTTTACTTATTAACCTAACTTATTAACTTTAACGTCACTAATAGGCCATTAAGCCACTTCTGAATACCGCCTACGGCAATATTTTAGAAGGTGTGTATGAGCGCCAATTATCATTGAGATACCTTAAAATCTGCGCATATTGATCATACTTTCTATTGTCTCTTGATATAGATTCTAATAGCCTTGGTTCTACCACTTTCAGTATAATTAAGTTCCTGTCTTACCGTGGATGCAACAGCTGCCTACCGTCTTATTGTGACTGGCTCCTCGTCCTATTTAGATACTATCCAGTTCCTGTTATCAGTTAGGTTTCGAGGTACGATTTGGGGATATTGCCATGCTCAATTATTGCCGTTCAAATTGGAGATATTGAATATAATTGTTCACTTGCGAATAATCGGCTCAATGGTTCTTTGCAATTAAACCGGTCATTTCTCATTTCAGCACTAAATGTGGACTCCGCCTCCGAGATTCTCTTGTGCTCTCGGAGATCTGCATTGGACCCAATAAAAGTTATTAGAGCAGTTATATTTGCGTTATTTCCTTACAAGTCAGTGGTTGGACAGCTGAGAATGACAATCAGACCGTTAGGCGTTAGGTACCGGACAGCTAAAAGCGAGTACATGATCTTATATAAAAAAAGTTCTACTTCTACATAATTTTACGCACAAATGCGTAATTACATATAATATAATTTCGTGACAGTTTCAGTCGCCCATTAACGTACAATAAATTTGGCATCAGGGCATGCAGCAAGAGTTTACGGCTGCAAAGTCTTCACCCTTTGAAATATACAGCGCATGCCAGTGTTGCCTTTGTCGCAACATTGGTTCGTAACCGTCAACAAGATCAAAAAGTCTACATCGCAGATGCTAACATTGCAGTGGACGGCACCAGCAGGTGTCGCTGTAATTTATCGCATCGTTTGCTAGAGAAGTAATCGATATTGAATCTGTTGACGTACAAACAAGAGAAAACAAACATCAAATAAAGTATAGACACAAGAGTGAATACCCTCTAGGTACACATGCCTCATGAATCTATGAATATATTAAGGCGAGCAGTCACGTCAGCTTCGTATATTATGTCAAGCCCCTATCTCGAATTCACTGCAGACTAACACAGTACTTTTATTATCGTCATTATTATTATTCTACGAAGCATTTACCGTGGCGTCTGGTTCTCATAAACTTCGAGGGCACGTCACACAAAAGGTTAATAGCAAGCCAAAAACTTTTGCAACCCACAGGCAGAAGATGACACGACTCCAGCAATTTTTGTACTACCAGTGAACATTTTGGACGACAATGTATCCAAATATTTCGCAAATGAACGAGATGCTCCATCAGCAGAACCTGGCGTTGGTCAAACCGTTCGTTACTCAGGACGCGGGCACGGCAGGCGCGCTGGGCTGAGCTTGCTTGGTGCATCATTGATCTCGCGGTGTATCACGCCGCTATCGCTATTTTAAACGACTGCTGATATGAGCTCGTATACGATATATGGACAAATTTAATTATTATTCACTGGCGGTATAAAGGATTATTGCTGTTGAAAATAATTATTGCACATATTTCAAGTTAATTTATAGCATTGGCTTTAAACAGACATTTATTGTGCCTCAAAAGCATCACAAACGATTTCATATATTCAGCGATCTTCTTTTCTACCAGCAGCTAAGAATTAAGACCCGTGTTTTGCCGTCGGTAAACGAAATTACGAACAGACTTCAAGAATAACAAGTTCTCCCTAATTTCGACTCTCGCAGAACATCTTTCTTGCTGTCAGGTGCCGTATTCAAGTGATAATGTAACAATAGTTTGTTGATTATTCATAGGAACCTAGTCAGCAAAGACATGTGCGATGCGCAATCAAGGGTGATCAATTGTTCGTCCTTGAACTCAACAGCTCTGAAGTGGGCCAGGAATTAATAAAATGTACGGAGAACATTTCATCTTAAATTGGTCCACAAAAAAGTCGTTTCCATTCTACAAGCAGAATTTTTGTAGCATTCATCATGCAGAAGAGGATTACGAAAATTAATTCAACAAGTGCATGCTTTCTCATCGCCTAAATTTTCAAGACAACCATTACATTTTTTGGGATTGAATAGTCAATGAAACTTTCTTTCAAATGTTAAAACATTCACAGCCGATCGCGTTTTGACTGTAATTAAGACTTTACTGCTAAAGCAGCAGTAAATGATAATACAGTAAAATTTATTTCATAGCGAGCTATTAGCATTGAAATGATCACTCCACAATGAAAATAAATGAACTTGAACCGTGTCAGTTTGCAGAGATACCTCGGCTTACGAACTAATTGATTCGTTCAGTGACTGGGATCCTATGACGAAATTAAATGTTCGTACCTGGAAAAAGTATTAGTATTTAATGTGTATTGACACAATTAAATAAATTATAGTACCGAATCGCTTTGTAAGCACCTAACCGGTTCTAAAATTCGGTTTGCAAGCAGAGACGTGTTCGTAATTAATATGTGGAAGCAAAAAACATCTCGAAGCGACGGTTCGTATGTGGAAAATTTTGCAAGTATAGAAGCGTTCGGAAGTCGAAATATCACTGTGTTTCTCTTTCTTGGTTCTTCAAAGAAATCTCCAGTTGTATAATAAAAAAATTAGACATTCATTATTTATAATAAATGATAGGAAACTTATGCACGCAATAGAAAACCCACGATGATTTAAACTATGGATGAAACAAAATATCCACCTACATGAGAAAAGATATTTGATCGAAATTATTGATTTGACCTACACGACAATTTTGAACATTGGAGACAAATGATACCTACTCTGTGGAAGATTATAGATTGCAGGGTATTTTTCAAAAATATTTTCAATATTTTTTTTTGCCGGCTTTGAAACGTTACGACCAACCAGTAATGGAAACCATTGTTCGGAAAGTTTTCTGATCGGGTACCACTTGGAGGTTCCGTAGTCCCCGCGTACCACTAAGTACCAACCGCGGACTGAAGTTACTAGATGAGTCGTTGATACTTCGCCTTGATGACATCTTTCTAAATGCGCTATTAATTGGAGCATTAGGAAATGGAATTTTTTAATTCAATGGTAGTCCGGCTGAATGAGGTGGGTGGCGTGTAATAGCTGCTGCATATCATTGCCAGATTATCTTGAGATGCATATTTAACATTTGTGAAGCAGAAAAAAAATTAACCGTGAATCGTTGATGACCCTAGCTGAAAGATTTCGCGATCCGCCTGGTAGGCTATCGCGTACCAGCAAGGTTTCCGCGTACTATAACAGTTTGAAAATCCTTGCCTCTGACGTTCACGTACGTTGGCAGCATGAAATATTTTACCGGTGCTCAATGCTCAGGCCATGCCTACATACGGCTTCCGTTGAAGTGTAAAATTTAGTCAAAATCTTATTTTTAAACGAAGTGATGTCTCGGGTACCTAGCTGTCTTCATACCTTCGCGAATATTTTCATTTTCTTCCATTGAAATTTCGAAGGTGGTCACTGAAACATTATTAATGAAAATAGAAATAATTTTGAAGCGATTTTGCTAATGTATTCTAATTAGCAGTTGCTTTTAAATCAACTCAGTGAGCGATTCAATTGAAGTTAAGTACTGAAAGAACTCAAATGCTCAAATAACAGTTTTTTTATTTCAAAACATCATTGTATGACTTAAGTATTACTACACGCGGGCGAATGTTTCAGATCGGAATGAGTCAGTTCACGTCTCATAGATTCTCGCAGCAAGAGGAAGCCTATACGCTGAAGTCATGCGCTAGTGTTCTAACATGCTATTGTTCTTCTTCTTTTGCAGTAAAATGGGATTGTAAGCCTTTCATGCTCGAATTAATACAAATAAACCGGCGCCTAAGATCTGTAATAGAAACACAAAAGTAGAGGTAATAAGGAGCTTATCGTTCTGAAATTAATCAAACATAATAACGGAATTTTTGCTTGCGTTTGAGCGAAAGGCATTACCATGGCGACCGCAGAGGAGGGCGAAATGTTCATACTTCCGTAAATTTGTTAAATAAACAACTGGAAGCATTGGGCCAATATAGAGGCAAATTTTCTAAGATAATAACAAAATTTCTCAAGCTGAAAAGTTTCACTGTAGTTTCAAGAAATAACAATTAAAATCATTAAAATTCAACTCGTTAAAATTCAACTTTATCATCTAATTGAGTCTAGCTTAGAGAGGCGCAAGATAGTGCTGCATCTCTTGTGCAATGATCTCTTAGAAGGCATCACATGCTTCTTATCATATCACGATACGGAGAACTTGGATCTAGAAAGCACGTGACAAACTTGTCTCGCGGATACACTTGACATCTCATGCACCTGATGATATTAAGCTTGGATGAATTATTACTTTTACAATAACTTGAGAGAAAAATTATATTTTCAGTTTTTAATTTATCTAGAAATTGGTTGCTTTTTTCAGACAAAATACAACTGGTACTGTTAATTGATGCTAAAGCTTTCAGTATTAATGCATCATCTTGTCGGTCGTATGGAAGCTGATGCTTTTAGACCACCAATATGAGTAAAGTGATTGATACAAAATTATTGTATTTCAAGTATTATTGAAATTACAATATTGAAATTATTGTATTTCAAGTAATATTGTATATTTCATACAATATTATTATTGTATTCATTTCACCTACAGTTTTATGAACAATTCTCTTCAAGTTTCTAATTCATTCTTTCTTTTACTATATAATGACATTCATTTCAGAACCACACCCAACCTGAACAAATGTGATCCAACTGCCTTCTAATGCTGTGCGATTTAGTCAATATTAAAGTTTAAAAGATAAAATATATATCTGCTCAATACCTAACAGACCTAAATTTGAATTCAGCTACGAAATGCCTTATTCTATTTCAAAACAAAATATATTTCATAACTATTTTAATTGTATTCATAACAATTAGAGAGTTAAAGTAAAAGAAAAAGTTCCATTGAAAGTAGCGGCAGGAAGGCGAGCGCAAAGATCAAGCAGACCGGCCCGGCTAGCTGGAGCTGCACAGGTGCGGTGGCAGCTGTAAGAGTCGTACAGGTGCAGCTACACTTGTGTCCAGAACCTGACGCTTCATCAGTAATGGCGACAGCATCGACACCCACCTAGTGGCATGGTAAATGCACTGGACGTTATTCCTTACTAATTACTAATTACTAAGAGGGAAGCTCATAATCCCAAGGCGAACGTTCTTAACAACAGTGACATGGCTCGGAAACATAGGTGGTCGACGTTGTCATCTGTCAGATCTCTTATTCCAGCTATGAAAGAGGATTACATTTCCCCTAGTAAATATTTGGCAAAATATGTGTGCTCTTATGAGTGTGGGGATGTGTACATGCTTTGTACATTGAAACTTTTTAAACCAGGTGCAGCACTTCAAGGATATTAGAGGCTAAACATTTTGGTTAACATATAACATGTTTACCGTACCAACAATTACTCAAATGTAATTTTCAACAATGAACAATCTCTTCAAAATTGAAGCACATTTGAAACCACCCTGATATAACATAAGAAGTAAAGGATAAAACAAATCGTAAGATGACTACTTTATTCGTGAGAAATAAAACGTGATCTATAAGAGGTCATTTCCGCAGCATTGTAATCTCAAGATATGAGCACCGCCATTTCGGGCTCCAGATAACTGCATGAGCGGGCTGCGAAATGGCTTAGTTAAGCCCTCATATCATAATAGCAGGCTTGGTACGAGGCATAGCTTACTTATTGAATTAAACCGAGACAAAATTTTGCTCGTATATCATAATAGCAGGCCATCTCTGGCGGCCATGACAAGCACTCGAGACACCTTTTCATGATAATATCGATTAGGTAGTACCTAAAGATGACATTCATTCATAGAAGTAACGTAACGACGAAGAGAGAACAGCCTAATCCTCTTAAATTTCAAGCATAGTTACAGATATTATAAATGTTATGTTTTTAGTTAGCAATAAAACGGTACATAATACATAATTTCATTAGGTATCCCCTGCCAAAGGATGAGTAGCACCGATTCTCCCGAGTTAGGCTCGGGTGGTGGCACGAGTCGCGCGTGGTTGCGTCAGGCAGCGGCTGACTATCTTATCAGTTAGCGTCACACTCACGGCATAGTAGTCGTAGTCCCACAGCTCTCGTAGATCGTTCTCGGCGAACTCAGCCAGCGTTTTATCTTCGTAATCCATAGCGTCTGTCAATACTTTGCTGTTCCACATTTGAAAACAATTTAAAATAATACGAAGTCCTTGCTAATATTGGTTAGATTATTAGGAATACGGTAATGAGTGAATAAATAAGGTGTTACCGAAGTCATGTTCGACAGTGTTGCACCCATTCACTTCAATAACATCAATCTATTGACTATTCCGTTTATTAATATCTATTGTTAACCAAAATGAAAATATTTTTGTCATTGATTGTCTCACAAGGAAATATACTTTGTTTACAAGTTTTCCAGGAAAAAATATGTCCAAGAGCACGCTTTTTTTCATAAATAAACAGCCAGATGTTTGTCGATCATTTGTGAGACTTGCCAATATCGATAACCGTAAACCAAGTTGCCAATGGTAACGTCGATGGGAGTGTGTGTTGTCCGGTCGCTAGGCACTGCTACCCTACTATCGGGTCACCAGTGATCGTGAAGATCGGTCCACGCTACACACCCTCACTCGACCACGGCCGGCATCTCACTGACTAGAGAAGCGAAGCGTGTCCACGCTGCGCTGCCACTCTTTACCATCACGCCGGGCGCATATTTGAACTGCGGCGGACCAACAGCTGATGTTAGACCATGAAAAAACTTAGGCTCACCAGGAAATCCCCACGCTTAACGTCACTATGTGCTTAAAATTATGCTTGTGATTGATGAATTCAATTTCATTATGGGCTGCAATGATTTATTGATCAAGTCTCCTCCCAGCACAATCGCAAATTTTAAACGGCAATTTAGTAATCACGTCCTCCTATTCATAAATTGTAATTGAATTTCCATGCTAAAAACCCAGCAACTTTTTGCAATTATTCAACGCCACTGGACAAAGAAAGATTCTGCCCCAGGTTCTTGAAGTATAGCAGTAGTGAGAAGACATCAATATATAATAGTTAATTAGTTATTACGACCACGCAACGCTCACCAAAGACCAGTCAAGACTTGCCGGCATCTCCGGTGCTAAGACTACCAGAAGAATCGTGATCATTTATCTTAATAACTCAAGAAGAGCAATGAACGCTCTATACAACATCAGTGTAATCCTTAATTTTCATGCCCCCGGAAGAAGCAATCCAAACTAACAAAATTACAAAATTTGCTACGACGTCTAATCCTGGCTATTCTTAATGTTTATGTACAATCCAAAATTTTTACAAGCAATAGGAAGCGCAGCATAAAAAATTACGTTTCGCGACCTGTCATGATGTTCCTGAAAATAATGCTGATGCGCAATGTTTATGTGCCAGGTTTCAGATCTCATCAGTCAACTCCAAACCTTCCTGCAGCAGCCTTCCAGTAAGTCAATTAAAAGAACTTTTTTTCAAGGATAGCAGAAGCTGGAATGTCCATTCTTTGAAATGAAAACGCTTTCGGATTAACGGAGGTGATTGAAATAACGCATCAAAGATAATTTTTAGTAATTAAAACAATTTTTGTATTCCTTATAGTTGCATTAATTTTAATATTTTTGTATTTTCCAAGTATTGAGTACAAGAAAATTTTAAAATGAAGTAACATGAATATCATCAGAAAAAGTATACTTTACGAGTTAAATATCAAAATATCAGAAAGACGTTTCATTGTTGGAAAAAATATTTCGTTGAAAGAGGTTTCGTCGTGAATATCAAATAAAGTAAGAATGCGGACTGAATGCATGCTGATAAGCAGAGTTCACTCCCTTCCTATTTCTGACTATCGCCAAGAGATACCATGAGATGAAGACAAACAGTGGTTCATACGAAGATATTCTGCCCAATGAACGATTACCCGTAGTTCACTCCAATTCATACATCAGCGGTGAAGTTCAGCCTTACTGTGGTACTGATATATGATGTTATCTCTCAAATTGATCCACTTAATTAAAAGTTGCTGAAATGAAAAAGAATTGCAGATGAAAAGATAATTTTAATTATAATTTGCAGATGAAAAGATAATAATTGCAGATAATTATAAAATTGCAGATGAAAAGATAATAAACCCCGTTTTCTGTTTTTGCACGGCTAATGATTCCACTTGATACCCGGTCGTTCACACATGGACGTCTTCCTGCTAATGGAATGCAACTATGCATATACGTCGAGATTGTTGAATCAGCTCCGTGCTGAATATTTGCAGGTATTTATTCTATTGTTTATTTGTTTTTAGCATGGCAGTCGAAGGAACAAGCTTTAAATGACAGCAAAGATAAAGATATATTGCAAATTGTCAAACCGGTCGATTTAATTAAGAAAAGAGCTAATTGGAAACATGCACGGTCGGGACGAGCAAATAAATCGCTTCGACGTGTGAATTGATTAAGAACTCGCCATTTATTATTTCAAATGCGTCACTCTTAACCAAAGAGTTACATGAATTGCCCCGAAAGCAAAATTATTATTCTCTCCAACCGCTGTTTAAACTTCCCTACTTCACTGGAAGAAGTTATCTGCAGCGTTATCCCGTAGCGTGTGGTGAGGCTGTCATGCAAAGAATTTTCTTTGCCACAGTGGCGGCCGTTCATTATTCCAAGCACTTATAGGGACCTCAAATTTTCAAGATAAGTTGAAAATTAAGTCGAAGGACTTGTTATCGTACCTTGGCTTGTATGTGATTACTTTTACTTTTATGAAGGCGCCCCCAGATTGCTTCCGATCGCTGCTGCATGCCGTTGACCGTGGCCGCTATCTCGAACGTTGGATGTTGCGCGGTGCTCGTTTCTTAAATGATTCGATCTCTATAATCGTTTAAACGTTTCTTACCTTCTTACGCGGTTAATTCACGCGGTTCACGTCAAGTCTCACGGTTAATTCACGGCCACCGTGGCCGTACTGTTGATGTTGCCCGTAAATAGCAAAGAAGCAGCCGATATACTTGCGGGTTGTTGATGTTTGTTTACTGTACAGGGTGTTTCAGAATTAAGTAACCCTTTTAATTTGTTAATAAATAAAAAACTAAGAACGTTATGAAGTTGAAACTTGTTTTATTTAAAAGAAGAACATTTTTATGGTAATATTGTATCCTAGTTTTTAAATATAATATCTTTTAAATGCCCACCACAATTGTTTTGACAAAATAGGACTCTTCTCTTCGTTGCTTTCATAACCTTCATTAATTGATAATTAAACACAAATTTAGCAAGCTATACAGGATAATGACGTAACTATGATACAATATTACCATGAAAATGTTCTTCTTTTAAATAAAACAAGTTTCAACTTCATAACGTTCTTAGTTTTTTATTCATTAACAAATTAAAAGGGTTACTTAATTCTGAAACACCCTGTATTTCAAGTAGCAGCAATGTGTCAAATTTCCTCGTGGCCGCTTCAACTCGAAACTGCTGACGTATGCTGAGCTTCATGCTAGCGAGAGCAGGACTTCAGAAAAGCCTTTGCCTGCAAAATTTTCTCTGCACGTCGTGCACAGTTTGAGCTATACAGGCCCTCTTCGTAAACGTAAAGCCCTCTTTGTAATTCTCTCGGAAAAAACTCACTCTCATCTACTCGAAATAAACAGTCCTAAAAATACAGCACTGGTGCACCCACGTTCCTCACCATCCCAACACAGCACACTAAGTTTCAAGTGATTTCACGACTGATTCAATTCTTAATGAGCCTCCAATACAAGCTCTTGGTCAAATAAATCTTATTACATTGCTGTGAAGCTGCTGCTTCATTTACACTGGGCTTTCAGGAATGGTTTCTTCTGTCATTCCATTATATGCTTCACGAATTAAAAACCTGATAATTAATATTTTTTACAACCAAAGTACTAATCTGCATTCCATAAGCAAAGATTTATTTGATACTTGAACAGCTATAATGTTACCTGATTGGCTGGGATGCTCTATAATTCTATATATAGATGTAATTTTCATTATCCTGTAATTGCGTTCAGCACCCGATAACGTCTCGTCTTATCTTCCAAAGTCACGATTGCATCATTTCTTTGAATCAACTAACTTACCAGGCCCGAGATATATTGGATTTATTAATATACAGTACGCATCGCACTTCAAGCACCCTTTTTCATCCGATTCATTTTAGATTCGGAAGTTTGAGAAACTGATCCTATTTATCAAAATCAATCTGTATCTCAATTAAAATTTTGCTCGATTTATTTTTTTCTTTTGGTTGTATTTTGAGACTGAATCACTTAATTGAACATTGAGATCATTTAATTGAACAAATTAATTAAACGTTAAACTTAACATGGTTATTTCACTTTCAACTTTGTGATTGTTTGAAAAGATCACCACTAAACGAGCTTGTGCATGGTAAAGATATACCTACCAACAGTTTCCAAATCGGGAGGATATTTTTCATACAATTCCCTTTCTCGATCGGGTCGACATCTGGTTTGTAAGCTTACGGAGACAAGAGCCACTATATACAGTATAAGTCACGAATGTTGTTGCATTTCATTATGTATTGCCACGGTGTGGTGACATAAGCCATTTCATAATATCATTACTATTTTATTTACTCCTAATATATGCACGAGGAAATAATCAATATTTGCATAGTTTTTGCTACATAGCTCCGAGTTACCTAATCAAACTCAATTAATTCTTTTAAATAAAAGAATTCGTGACCGATTTGTCGGTCGCACTGGACAAAATGAAGCATCCATATATTTCTGGCAATCAAGGTCACCTTACTGTATGTGCTTTTTTATTGTGTAGATTCATCAAAGACTCCCTTTATAAGTCGCCGTTACCAGCAACAATGGATGTTCCGAGGAATCCCATAATAACAGCAGTGAAATCTGTAACTCAGGACATGCTCGCTAGAGTGTGCGACAAATTTGTCTGCCAAATTGAATTGTACTGTATATGCGGTACATATGAAGGTGGTCCCATGAATACTCCTACAAAGATCTTCTTTCGAATCGTGGGAAGACAGTTACACAACTTTTTATGTGATAAAATTCATGTCTTCCATAACCCCAACTTACCCGCCTAATTAAGCCAAGACTCTTCGACTAACCTCGCAATACAAATTTGAAGGCAAGCCTCACATAATTTTCTGCCGAAATTTTGTGTAAATGTGATCTATTCTTTGGCTGGTATCAATTATATTATAGCCAGGTTTTATTATCATTAGCGATGTAAGTTTTTTTGTTTCATCAAGTCGCCAGAGGAGGCCTGTTTGGCTATTCCACTCGCCAACTCGTCAGTTTCATTTTTAATTGTTGGGAAATTTCTACTATGGAATTTTAAGGAACCGAATACGTTGAACCCGTTCAATTTATGGGCGGCTAACATCCGCAGTGATTTGAAGCATCTACTTCCATAACTGTTTTGCTTTCTATTTGAAAAGTTGTGCTAAATTACTATTTCTATATAATAATATTCATTTGATGAACCATGTTCTCATGTAGCGCAGATACGCTATTGAAAAAAATATGTATATATAACCCTATACAGTGTAACGAACGAAGCTACATCGAATAATGGAAGCGACTTCTAAAACATGAGAATT